AAGAGGGTGGGGTTTTTTTCCACAAAAAAGTGAAAATATGAATACTGGCCCTCACTTAAGTGCTGGAACTTGCCTTTTGCGCCTTGAATCTTCCATTTTCTGGGTCCTTGACACATTAAATTGTGAAGCTTGTCCTCCTTTTGCAGCATGTTCTCCTGGATTTAAGTGTATCTGTAGGATTTACAGACACAGTTATAACAAAACGAAAACCTTCTTACATGCAGAGTTAGATGTAGAGCAGGAAATTCTAATAACCAACCACGTTTTTTGGCATTCCCTGAGGATACTGCAAACTGTCTTTAAGCTGCTGGAAATTAAACGCTGAATATTTTTTCTTCTCTACTGCTTTCCTCTCTTCTTCAAAGGCCTCTTTTTGCTTTCATGACTGTCCATTTAGTAAACAAAACAAACAAAAAAAGTGTTTCTTACCTCATTAATACTAATCTTTAAATTTTCCAGGGAGATCTCTCTTTAATTTAAATCATGAGCACAGTGCTGCTGCAGCAAATTTAGCTTCATCTCTGAAGTGAAGAACATGTTCAAGGTGTTAGGGCATCTAATACAGAAAGTATATAAAGCTACAACTAACCTGTTGTATTTAAAAAAAATGAATACTTCAGCTTTTGGGTTTCAGAATTAGAAAGTAATTTACAACTTTAATAGTAAAATAATCTGATAGTAAAGACCTGAGGTTTGTTTTTGGACCTGTGTGACAGTGACATGGATGGGAAGGTAAAAAGGAGTTGCCACTGTTCATTTCTACTCAGAAAAAGATGCTCCTCCCTTGAAAGATGTAGCATCTATATTTTTTCATTTGACTTAGCCTGGTATTAAATAATGCCTTAATTTACTTGAAATGATTGCATATTTGTACATAGGGTGTGTTGCCTATTCTGAAAGAGTCATTGAACAAAACCTTAGTGGGAATGACAGTTTTTTACACATTTCTAGTAGGAGGCCATGTTGCTTGCACAGAGAAAAATGGGGGTTAATTCCTATAGGCTGGTGAGAAATATTTGTATTTTAATACAAATTGCATTACATTTTCACATGTACTCAAATGACCAGCAGAAATCAGGATTGAAACTAAGAAAAAAATTACAGGTCTATTTTTTTGATGGAAAAAAAAAAAAAATCTATCAAAATATACCACTAAACTAAAAATAATCTTGCTACTCTGATAATAGATAGCTATTAAAAAAAAAAACCCAAACAACTAGGAATATGAAAACCAAGAGATTTAATGGGGAGAAAGAGGGCAAAGCTGCAGTTCTCTTTGTTGTTTACTGCATATTTATTCTTTCTTTGTTTTCTTTTGTTTTTTCATTGTGCTTTATACTTACTGCTCCACTGATGGGCATCCTAACAGCACTGCCATATAGTCAGTGCCTTGGAAAGAGCACAGGCTTTTCTTGCCTCTGGAAAAGGAACTTCTCTGGATCAGTCTCATGTGGAGCAGGTAGGAAGCTGAAATATGTGTGTGTGTGTGGGTGTGTGGAAGGAGAAGATGGAAAGGAAGAGCATAGGATTTAAAGGATGCTGGATCTTAATTTTTTAAAGGTGGTTTAAAAGTTGAGGTTTGTTGAGCATAGAGGTAGAGAAATATATTATGCCAGGACTTAAATCTCTGCTAAAATTCTTCTTTGTAAGCAGATACTGCAGGGCTGTACACTGAGCAGCTACCAAAGTAGCAAATGTTGAAGTTCATATCCTGGTCCGTAGTGATTTATTTGCTTACACTGACTTTAAGGATGTAAACCCATTCAATCTGGTTTTCACAATGGAATGTTGCATGACATCTGCATGTCTAATCAGAATGACACTAATTTGCTGTGAAACAAATCCCACAGCCAGCTACTACTCGTATCTCATGGAAAAAAAAATTACACGAGAACAGAAATAAACACTTGATAGCTTGGGGTGTTTTAAATTTTTATTCCCCCACCCTCCACCTCCCTTCTAAAAAGCTACAGATCCTTTTCTGCCTGTAGTATTTTGTATTTGACCATATATCTAGAAATATTTTTTGCATAGCTGTTACTTGGAAGGATTCCAGATTTTATTATTGTTGCACCCTACTTGTCTGTTTTGCTATGAAAAAAAATCAGTTTGTATTAGGCCAGTAACTGCCTTGTGCTAGTTTCAAGAGGTGGTAGTTCTTGTTAAAGGAGGTCTTTGGGTTTGTTTGCCCTTGTTTCAGATAGGGAATGATTATTTTTTGGGGGTTTCTTTAAAATCTCTAGCTTTAGCCATGTCTAACACAAGCCAGTAACTCTGGTAGATTCTATGTAGATGTTACTGTGTGCCCTGAGGTGTGACTGTAATCCATCTCACTGCTACATGGGCTTCAACTGCTTGGAGTATTAACACTTAAGAGTGTTAATAAATCTGACATTTACTTTTTCTGCTTAGTAATCTGCTTAGTTCACAGCTCAAGTATTTTTTTCCCCCTGGATTTCACGCTCTCTCTCAATTAATTGTTAAGGACAGTAAAAGGTATTAGATTATTGATGTCCGTGGCCTCTAGGCTCCTGCTGTCCAGCTGCAGAAGCCACAACTGTCATCTCATCCGGAAGAGAGGCTGGACTTTTCCTTTGTCAGCAAGAGCAGATGTGACATCAGGCAGCTGTGTTGATGCTTGGGCTGTTCATCAGCTCAGGACCACACCAACATTCACCTGTGGGGCTCTTTCAGGGACACAAACCAGTGAGATCAGGCAGGCATTTCTGTGATAACAATTGAGATGTTACACCTGCTGTTGCAAACGTAATACTGATTTTCAGTCATCTCATTTCAGCTTCTTCTTTCACTACGTCCAGGTTAATCTTATGATTTTTCAGGGGTCTTTCAGGAGACATTTTGATACAGCGTGATGACTTGTTAGTCTAAAAATGAGAGCATTCAAACATATGAACTAAGATCATGTCTCTACTTCAAATAGAGACATCCCCCACAGCCCCCCATTTTAGTGATAAAGCTGCTCTTGACAGGAGGAAGTTCATGTTTTAAATATAAAAGATCTAAAATACCTGAAAAGCATAATTTTGCTTTCAACTGCACTGCCAAGCCTAGTTTTTATCCATATACTGGTGTTGCTATCAGGGTTGATCTTAGAGTTTACATGCTTTAAAAAGCTTTTACTTGTGGTTTGGTTTCCTCTTCAGCAGAAAACTAAACTATGGTTAATTTTGGTTTATTTAGTTTCTCCATAACCATGATTGTTATATTGCTACAGTGGGGATTAACTGGGAAACATGAAATACAATTACACTTACTGAAATGAGATCCAAGTTTCTATCAATGCTTTTATTTTTGCTTAAAGAAACAAAAAGTACAAGCAATGAGGAAACTAACCCATAAGAGGAACTAGTTCCTTCTCCCTCTGTTTCAACTGATATTTGGAAATTGTTTGTTATTACAGCACAGGTGAAACAACTGAATTCAGCAGTGCAACCAAGAGGGTACAGAAGAGCTCAGATGTAATGCTACCTAGTAGTAAAGAGATTTTTTTTTTATTTCCCTATGTCATAGGATAACCAAAGGTTATGTATTAAAAGATGCATTTTTGATTTGAAAATTAAGAAACCCAGAACAATGTTTTCAAAGTTAAATACAAAACAGTAGTAAATATGCAAAATACAGTTGATAAGCAGAGCGACGAGGCAAGAGAAATAAGAATAATATTTGATTCTTAAAACGTAATTATTTGTAATGCTGGGCTTCCTCTCACCCCCCTGCCTGTAGTGTCTTGTCAGTCTCATCCAGACAACTATGCAATACAGGGAGATAGTAAAACCTTACACAGTATCATTTAATTTAATTACCAAAGCACCAAACAGGCAATAAACATTGGAGGCCTGATATCTGCACTGGAATGTACTAACCGTATTGTGTTTGAGGAAAATGAGGTTAAAAACAGTACAGTTTTATGATTATACAGTACTTCTTCAGTAAGAGAACTTGTCCAAAGGGAAAACATCCTCTTTCAACACAGATTTCTTGCAGATTTCAAACAGTAAGGTGAAAACTGAAGTTACAGTACAGCTGCAAACACTGAGTGATACTTTGGTTAAATACATGTTTTACTTCTATGTGCAGAGATTGTGCATTTCAACATCTTCCAGAAGAGATTATTGTTATTATTTTTTACCCTGACATATTTATTCAAAACTTTGTTATGAACCATTGAGATGGAATTGTTTATACATTTGATTTATCCATCAGCACTCTTTAGAGAAGAGATCAAAACTATACATAGGACCAATAGAGCAGAATTATTCAAGTTCAGTGAAATATTACAAAAAAAGTCTTCCTTCTTAGGAAAACTCAGCTATGGTAAAAATATCTACTACAGTGCACTGCACTGTAATAAATATTCAACATAAATTAATAATTTACAAGTACCTGAGCAAGTATACAGAGCACCATAGCACAGCACAGCACCAAAGGCAGTAGCTCAGAATTCTTAAAAAGAATGCTGTTTTAAACATTAAAAATTCTAAGTATTGTCATAAAAATGAACTCCAGCTGGAGTTTAAAGATAGTGCAAACTTCTGTCTTCACTTTTTAAAATTAAGGTGTGAGATTTTTCTGGTCATTTCACATCAGCAGCGTTGCTGGGCCTGGACACCTGTGGTGGATGCTTAGGAGCAGGTCTGCTGGAACAAAAAGAAAACAGCAAATTGTTACTGAAGTTTTTGTTAGTTCTTACTGCCAGCATCATGCCTGAGGCTTGAAGGTGAATGGTGAAAGCTCTGAGAGTTTCCCAAGTTAACTTCAGACATGTAGGTGAGACTGTCACACTGGGAGGAGACCAGATGTGTCACTGCACCCAAAATGGTGTCACTTTGCACAGCAGCAGTGGCACCAGCAGCCTCCTTTTTCAGTGCAGGTTTTCATTGCTGCCTGGCTGGAGAGATAAGCCAGCTCAGTGTTTCAGGTGATGTTCTCTAAACTCTTCCTCAACAATTTTGTGCAAAAATGCTCCCTCGTGTTTTAGAGTAACAGTTGGATTCCAGAGGCTGTAGCAGTCAGCCTGAAATGTTGTTACTTGCAGAGTATCTTACTAGAATGGACAGCCAGGAGCTTAACCCCAGTTCACTCTTGCTTTGAAGTGTTAGGAAAATAACTTGATTCTATTTTTAATTTTTCTGAGCAGTTAACTGCTTCACTAGTAGAATTCCTGTAGCTTAAACTACTTTTATCTTCCTTTTTTTTTTCTTTTATTCATAGGAAACTGAAGAATATCAGGCAAGAAAATATTATTGACTATGCCCATTATAACATCATTATTTCACTACTAGATTATTGTTTTTCAACATCCTTTTTTTTTTTTTTTTTTTTAAGTGTGAAATGTCTGTGCTTTCTGAATGCTTTGGTTATTATTTTCAGAGGATAAAAACTGATGCTCCATTGTGAAATGTGTGAATGGAAAAAACTGCTTTTATTGGTGGTAGATCTTGACAGCTTTCAGTTCTAATTCTGTAGGTGGTCTGAGTAGGAAATATTTTTCTGCTTTGTCTCTTTGGAAGTTGGTGCATATTAACTCCTTCCTTTTGCAAGGAATTGTATTTATTGGGCATGTTTTGTAAATATACAGTCAGATGTTTAGAGTCAGACCTTCATATGTAGTAAAAATTCTCATGCTTCTGTGGTGAGTTCTTTAAAATATAACTGCAATCCATGCTCTGTTGGAGCTGCATTTGACAGCTGTATGAGTTCTTCAGCTGCCAAAAATATTTGGGTATTGGCTGTACCCTTCCTGCTCTCACTGTGGGACTTGCAGCTCCCAGTGTAAAGCATGTGTTTATTCTGAATGCAGTTCCTAATGCAGGGGAGGCAATTAGCAAATGACCTTCAAGGCAAGGTACTTACTTTAGGCACCTGCTCTCTCTTACATGGCCACTCGTTGGCAATTTTATGTATCTTCACATCTATACAGATGAGCATGTATCAAATTTGGGTTCTCAAAGGCTGCCAAGTGACTCTTTTTTTAGGAAGCATGATTTTATTTATTAATTATTTTTTTTTCATCTCTAGTGTTTCAGCTCTGGAATTGTTCTCTAATACAGGGATTCATGTTTAATGCTGCTAGAGGACAGGTCTGAGATTGTGTTGGGTAGTAAGAGTTGTGTAGCCTACAGGAACAGCAGGAAGAGAATCACAGAATAGTCATGGTTGGAAAGTATCTGTGAGATCAGAGTCCAACCATCAGCACAAAAAACCTCAACCAAATACAACCAACCACACACACTCCACCAACCCCCCCAAAAAAACCCCCTCCACAATGTTGGCCACTAGAACATGTCCTGAAGTGCCACATCTACACATTTCTTGAACACCTCAAAAGGATGGCAACTCCACCAACTCCCTGGGCAGGCTGTTCCACTGCCTGACCACTCTTTCAGTTTAGAAATTCTTCCTAAACTTGAGGGAAGATTGAAATTAACCTTCTCTGCTTTAAGACTTAGGAGAAGTTCCTCGGGTTGCTGTGGGAAGTTCCAGGGAAGCTGTGGCTGCCCCATCCCTGGCAGTGTTGAAGGGCAGGTTGGATGGGGCTTGGAGCAGCCTGGGCTGGTGGGAGGTGTCCCTGCCCATGCAGGGGGGGTGGGACTGGATGATCTTAAAGGTTGCTTCCAACCCAAACCAGTCTGGGATTCTGTGATACAATCCCAGTAAGAATGGGTCTGATACTGCCTCTTTTATATAAACAAACAGTGATTGTGTAGCTCTCAGCACGTTACAGTGGAGCTCAGTTACTCACAGCTGTCACGACGAGCTGTCACGGAAGGCAGGGCTAGAAATTAAGCTGTTGTGATCAGAACTAACCTTAGGGGAGCAAGGTGAGGCAGAGGTTTTGTGTGCCCAGGTCCTGGGGTGCAGGCCCCGTGGCAGCGCCCCTTGGTCAGAGGGTCGGCTGGAAGAGGCTTCCGAGGAGGGTTTGGCTTGTGGGGCTCCTGTGATGAAACATAAGGTCGTGTTAGTCTTTGGAATGGGCAGAACATTCCTGACACAGCAACAACTGAGCTAAATTGAAATGAAGTTCAGAACAGTTCTGACCAGATATATTTAAACGAGGAAACCATAACTTGTAATAACAACCAGGGGTTTGTATTTTTAACCACTTCTAATGATATATTTTGATGGTTTAATTTATTTTGATTCTTTACTCTAGAAATACTGGGTGCATCTGTTCTGGGGTTGAGGATTAATTGGTGGTAAATGAAAAAAAAAACCAACCAGCATAGATCGAATATATAAAACTGTAGAAGTAGTTATATTAAAAAATAGAAATACTAGCAATGACTTTTAAATGCAAATTCAGATGACCAGAGAAACAAACTGCTCAAGTCCAGTTTGAATTGGTAGCATCTGTGGAATTTTTTTTGAGCTGCTGTTGTGCTGTCTTTCTGTGGCATTAAATGACTCATTAATAAAGAACAGAAGTCATCTGCTGTCAGGCATGAGCTAATGTCTCTTCTGTGTGGTCCTTGAAGCCCTGCAAACATGGTAACATGTCTATTTGTGGTCTTCATTATGAGGAACTGGGTTAGATTAAGGAATTTGCTCAGGGCACACAAAAACTCTCCAGTTTATAAAAAAAAAAGGTCTGAAGACCTTAAGATCTGGTAAGGATGAATGAACAAAAAGAGAGGAGAACTGCCCTCCTTTGTTTATGTTTATTAGTTGTGTTCTATGTCTTATCACCACCTGCAACACCTGATGGTCAGGAAGGGTTGGTTTTCTAAGCAGCTCAGTTGCTTTTTTACCCCTTTTTTGCAGGGCAAGGTGGCTGGAATGGCTGATCCATGTGTGCTGAGCTACAGCAGCTCTTCAGCTGTGGACTGAGCATCTTCTCATGGCTGAGCATTAAGGTAATCTTTGCTGCCTAAGCCAAACTAATCCTTTAGGCCTTCTTATTCCAGAAGTAACATCCATGTGAGGAAGTTTCAACAAAACAGGGATCATGCTATAAGTGGGCAGAGAAGCCCAACACCTGATCCCTTCCCTCCCCTTCTTTCTTTTCTTTTCTTTTCTTTTCTTTTCTTTTCTTTTCTTTTCTTTTCTTTTCTTTTCTTTTCTTTTCTTTTCTTTTCTTTTCTTTTCTTTTCTTTTCTTTTCTTTTCTTTTCTTTTCTTCTCTTCTCTTCTCTTCTCTTCTCTTCTCTTCTCTTCTCTTCTCTCTTCTCTTTTCTCTTTTCTCTTTTCTTTTTTGTTTTCCTTTTTCCCAGGGCTTGTGAAAATGTTGTCCCTGAGTTAATAGCTTTGAGGGGGGAAGCAGCAAAGTGGCTTGTCAGAAAGTGTAATGTGGCAAGCTGGTAAGAAAGAGTAAAGGGGAAAAAAGGGGAGAGAATTCAGATAATAATGGAAATGGAGGATGTGTAATGGCTGAGATGAAAAATGGAGGAACAGATCACAGAAAAGAGATGTCAGCAGAGGAAAATGCCACCATGCAAACATACAGCCTTAGAAGCAGAGGAAAAAATATTTGAAGAAATAAATCCCAGCCCCCGAACTGATTTCAGGATGGTCTTTTATATTCTTTGTGTGCCTCAGAAGGATCTGAATTGATACTGCTTTGTGTGTGAACATGTGTGGAAACTTGCTGTAGCCTTTGATGTCCTGGCAAGTCCCTGGCACAGCTCATAGCACCACCATGGCTGGGCTTCCCTGCTTCATCTCTCCCATCTCTTCTTTTTCCCCTGCAGAGCTTTAGCTCTTCAATAGAAAGAGTTAGTGGATGGATTTCTTTGTCCAGTTTTATTTCAACACCTTAGCATTTAATGCATTCTGTCTCTGTTTGGGGAAGTGTTTTAAATATTGTCATGATCTCTTTTTCCAGCTCTGCTAGAAAGAAAAACCAGCGTTCTCATTTTGAGCAGCTACAAAGATATCAAGTGCATGAAGCTTTAGTTTGTTTTGCTGGTTGATTTTTTAAAGCAGCAGCTGGAAGAAGGTTCTTGCATGGAAGGCACTGGGTGAGAGGAGGTGCCTTCCTCAATTTGTCAGGCTGGCAACTTAATTTGTGTTATCCCTGTGTCAAAAGCCAGCCTGAGGTGACACAGGAGTGGTATTGACAAGAATAACTGTGGCACAATGAGAAGGCAAACCCAGTTCAGTTTTACTAGGGGAACAGTAAAAATACCAGGCTATGTTTCCTGTAATTAGGATGACCTGTAAAACATGAGATATTTTGGTAATAAGATGATGGCAGTATCAGAGGCAGCAGCTGAATGCTCACAGAAACAAAACCAACTAGAAGTAATTACATGGGAATGCATCTGAAAGAAGAAAAATCTGTTTATCAGTCAAAAGTTTGTTAATATTAAACTTGGCAACAGTCCATTTGGTAAGTGGTTTTTCCGTGTGGGGTTTTGTGTTGTGTTCTTTTTTTTTTTTTCTATTATATAGCAAAATAATAATCCATTCATTGCTGTCTCAACAGCCACTAGAGGGGAAAAGAGTCATGTTAGAGTCTACTTGGTATGTTGTGCCTTAGCTGGAAGCCCAGAGGCAGCAGGGAAGTAGCTGATGGTTAAATACACTTCTGAGAAGAAAGAAGCAGAGGAGGCAGCTGTGGAGCCATAGAAACACTGAATGGTTTCAGATACTCTTCTTCAGCCCTACACTGCAGCACTGAGCATCTGGATGATATTATGAATGCAGCCATGATTTTTAAAGTGCTTCCCTTTAATGACCTGATGGATGCACTTCCAAGAGAGTGCTGAAGCAAAACATTAAGTAGTATCTGTATAAACTAGATCAAAACTATACTCAAGTTAATTTACTTCATCTAAGCTTTGAGGGAGTAAAATTGTTAACTTCAGAAGAAAAGATTTTCCTTCCCATACAGTGTTTTCTGTGTCCCTAGGATACAAAAAGTAGTTATTTCTGACAATCCTGGATTGATGTTCTGCACGTAATTTTGAAAGAGGCCACACTCCTGCTTCTTCACTAGGTTGCCTTGAGTTGATCCCCTGTTTGTTGTACTTCTGCTTTGTGCAGTGATGTTTTGCTTGATGGAGGAATGGTCACAATTAAATTGAGCTGCTAAACTGAAAAGCTTTTTGGCAGTTTCAGCTCTGACAGTCGTTGGTAATGATGGTACTAGAGATCTGCTGCTCTACCTTGCACTTTGTTTGGGATTTGAAGGGAAGGGCACTTAGGACATGATTTGTAGCTGTGCCTGGGGCTGCTTTGATGTGCAGTAACAGGCTGGGACAGATACAGATGCACCATCAGGATGAGAAATTGTTACTTTTTCTTGGAAAGCCTTTCCTCCCCCTGTCTTCTGCTAGCAGAAGGCAGTGTTAGCTTGTAAGTTGCTAGGTAAGAAGAAACAGGAGAGATTTCTTTCTTTCTTTAAAGGAACCATTTGATTAAGAAACAGAAAAGCACTTGTACTTAAAATCTTAATCTTGGTCATAGTGCCAAATATTTTATGGAATACAAGAGAATAAACAAACCCTTGGAGCTAAAGACAAAAGCAACACAAATACTACTTCAGATTTCCTGTGAAATTGGTTTTGGAAAGAATCAGTGTTTCCCATTGCCCTGAGATGGAAAATAAATGACTAGTAGCAAGGTGGAAAAGGGTAGAAGAAAAAGCTTAAATACTTTGAGAGTGATTAATAAACTGGCCACACTTGGACAAGTTGCTCTTACCAGTGTGATGCCCTGCTCAGACTTAGACAAAATTCAAACTAGACACACTTTTTCTGCTGTCGTAACTTGTGGCCATGGCAGCTCAGCAATGTCTCATCCCTTTTTGTTTCTTTGCTCTTTCTACAGCTGCTTTTCAAGGCATTGCACTTCAGTGACTGTTTCTCACAGCCATGTCCTCCTATGAATCCCGGGGAAGGTGTCTTGGAGCAACTCACAGGGTTGCTGCAGGAAGGAGGAGCTCCATCCTTGGACATCCTAGCTAGGTTACAGGTAGGGACAGTCACTCAAGACACAGCTATTTGAGTAGGGATTTGCAGTATGTGCCACCAACCCAATGGGACACTTATTTAAGATAGCTCAGTGACAAAGACATTCACTTCATTTTAATCTTGTACTTTATCCAGAATAGCACCATGTCTACAAAACAGAAGTAGCTGGGTGCCTGATTCCTTTGCTTAGACACAGTCACACTACAAATCCAACCAAAAGAGAGCAGCCAGTGACAAGAAAAAGGACAATTTAATACAGACAACTGCACAGACAGTTTCATCTGCCCTGAACATTGCCTTGAGATGCATCTTGTTACAACAAAAAGGCTACCAGCTCTATTTAAGCATTGTATAAGTACGTCCACATGAAATAGTGCAGGTAATTACAAGTCTGCTTTTCATGTCTGTGCACTTGAAAAAAAAAAGGAATGCAATCCATACAGCCCTCAGCAGAACAGAGCACATCAGGCTAATGTACCTTTTGCTCTTGCTCAAGACATCTGCAGCCTGACATCCTAAACTCTATCACTGTACTTGACACCTTGCTAACTACAATTTCCCGTCTGGTTGGGCACAATGAGCCTGTGTTTGCCTCTCATATGGAGCTTTTTTATACTGTTGTGCCTGTGATCCTCAAGTTGAAGATCACAGCCTCGGCTGGCATAAACCAAAATAACCCTCATGAGCAAAATGGGAACTTAAAATATCTTTATGAAATGATCTACACCCCATTTCTAAACTCATACAAAATATAAAGGAAACACTGTGGGAAAGGGACGGTGTGAAGGATGAGAAAAGACTTCATTTGTATTCACTACATGGAGATACAGGCTGAATATTAAACAGAAGAGAAGCTAAATGAAAATTCATGGTCACCTGGGTGAACCTCAGCGAAGGGTTGGCTGGCAAGGGTCTTTCAGGCACAGCTTCATGACATGTCAGCTGGGGAAGGGGTGGTAGCACTCGCTGGGGTGTTTTTAATTGTGGCAGATTGTGTGTCTTCACAGGGTTACTGATGTCAATGATCTGATATGGCAGGGGTCTCCTTGGAGCATCTCTCTGTGAAAACAACCCCAACCCCCGGTTAATTGCAGACTTTGAGAGCTGACATGAGTATTACTGCTATAAAACATGTGTAATTCACCTTCTTTTCTCTTCTGCTCAGCTTTCATCTACCTTCAACACCTCTGCAACCAGAGAAGCAGTTAACAGGTTCCAGAGTCCTACTCAGGCACCCGTTCCTCACTGTTCAGATGCAGTGTTCTGGGGTAAGCTGGCTGGCTCTACCCCAGAGACTAAGCTGTTTCTTTCCTGCACTTGATGTCTCCACCTGTGTAAAACTTGGAAGCTATACATGTATTTTGAAACCTACATCAACTCCCATTTTATGTACTGTTGGTTCTATGTGGTGCTAATCACAGAATCATCAGAGTTGGAAGGGACCTCTAGAGATCCTCTAGTCCAACCCCTGTGCTAAAGCAGGATTGCCTAGATCACATACTAAAATCATGTAATGATTGTGTTATAAAAAATTACTTAAATGAGATCCAAAATACATAATATGGGTTTTTTCCTTTATTTTTATTTTTATCAACTGTTTAGGGACTCACTTTTTGTATGTTTGCATTTTGTGGCTTCGTGATGAGGCTTTTACTGAGAGATGTGGTATGAACACGATTAGGCTCCGATGAACTGGAAGGTCTTGCTGGGCTCACAGACCTGCAATACAAACAGATATTTACTGAACACAGCATTCTGCTTTATAACATATTTTTTTAAACAGTTACCTCTTTTCATAATGAGATTTTGCAAGGACTTTCTGACTTTTTATAGTAAACAAGGAAAGTAAAAATTGTCTAGCGCTCCTGCAAGAATAAAAATAAATATTGATTTTTTGGAAACCAGTAGTCTGTTAAATTAGCTTCTGCAATCTGTGGAAATGCAGCTTTGTAACACCCAAGAGACTATTCTAATGAATCCAGCATTTAAACAGTAATGACCTCAAATATGAAAGTTTCAGCTCACTCGACCGCCTTTAGATAAAAGGCCACGCAATGTAACGGATCTATTTCAAGCAAATGAAATTAAAGGCAAAACTTCCTTCACTACTTCTTTGTTTTTGTTACAAAAGAGGTATATAGTCAACCTGAAACCACCATTATTTACTGACAATCAATGATGTTAAACTCAACGAGGAAAACCACCTCTGTTAATACTTAAGAGAGTATTTTTGTTAAGGCTGGTTCTTCCTGTCATATTCACACCATTTTGTGATGAATGTTGAGGTGGGAGCTGCCATGTTTGCAACTACTTTCTACTAATAAAATTAGGGAAAATGGTCATACCTTAGTTTCTCTATTGTTGTCTTTTTGCTTGTAAACAGCCATTTCATGAAAGTCTTCCTTTTCAGATACATGATTGCTCCAGCAACGATAAGGCACAGAATGGTTATCAACACTCCTATGCTTAAACTCTTGTTATCTGCAACAAATCACAGGAAGTTAACTTCTACCAGGAGCCACCCTAGAGTGTGTTATGTGGATGGAACAAGACATTGCTGCCTGGCTTGGCTTTCTAACTGCAATGCAGGTACAGTGAATAAACTGTGAATGAAAGACTCTGAAACTCTTTATTCCTTCTAGCCTGATGATTGAATTTTGGTCTGTTTTAAAGTTATTTCTTTAACATGAGGAAAAAAAACAGAAAAGGTTAAAATATGAAGCTCTAGGTGCCTTCCAGCTGAACTATTCTATTCTGTCTGGGTCCAAATAAAAGCTGTGTAGATGTGGTGCTGAGGGACAGGGGTTATTTGGGTCCTTGGCAGTGCTGGGTTAATGGTTGGACTTGATGATCTTGAAGATCTTTTCCAACCAAAATGGTTCAATGGTTCTGTGATCATTGTGTTCTCTCTCTGCACCTGTGCTCAGGTCCTGAACCCATGGGGTGATGCCTCTAGCAGTGCCCATGGGCACCTTCTTCATGGGATGCCTGCTGCCAGGGTGGGAGGGATACAGAGGCTGAGAGGGAGAGAAAACAGAGAGAAGCACCTAGATCAAGGTTTGGGTCAAGTACAAGCTTGTAAATATTGTCCTTCAAATATAAGCAGTAGCCCTAGTGCCTTTATACCCAGATTTGAGGGGTTTTCCTGTGATTTAACACTGGGCAAATAGGCTGAAATCTGAGTGACACCCGTGCAGCCCAGATGGCTTTCAAGTTGAAACTGGAGGGGAGCAAAGAGCTGAAGGAAGGCCCTCAGCAAGGATGTTGTGTGGGATGCTCCTAGAGGGATGCTCTGCTTAGCCAGGGCTGCTGCCTTCTGTACTCGTTCCAGTTTTCAGAGTGCTTTAGGCTGCATTAAATACCTTGCTGGGACCTAAGTGAGGCACAACAGTGTGCTGAACCCTAACCAGGCAACTGGCAGCTGTTTTTAGGAAGAGGTGAGCAGCAGCTCTGATTGCTACAGATTTGTGCTGTGATCACTGCCTGCAGGAGAGGCTGCTGTAATTCTTTAGGGCTGCTGACCTAAAAAATACACACTCCTGCAGTAGGAGACACATCTTTACTCTGGTAACCTATCATCACTGGCTCAGTCTTATCCTGATGGATTTCCAGCCAGCCTGCTCTCCTCTTCTGGCCTCAGTTTCCTGGGATGCTGGTGAACAGGCAGGAACCCTGAACAAAACAACATGTGGGGCTTGATGGGGCATGAACTGCTGTGCTTTTTACCTTCTAGCACTGCAGAGTAATACATCCCTAACCATGTCTAAAAGATGACTAAAATTAATAAGCTAAGATTACACAATTTAAATTAATTTACTTCTCTACCTAACAATTAAATATTTAAGGCTTCCTTGTAAGAAAAATAGAGAGTGTCAAACACACAGGTTTATTCTAAGTCAGCTGGGTAAAATCAGTTACTAAATACTAATGAGACCATGCTCTTTGTTTGACTAAGATGAAAGTGTTTTATGGAGCTAATCCTTCTGTAATTTGATTTAGAGATGTGCAAAATACTCAGATCATAATCCAAACCACCCCATCAAGTGTTCATACATAAATCCAAGTGTCAGCGATAGAAAATTAGGTCCTCTAGCAATTTCCATGTTTGTTTATTCTCAGTAGTATTGCATGTAGCATTTTTTTTTGAGAAAAATGGGAAACTACCACACTATATTAAATTATTCTTAAAACAATTTTCTGTTAAATTGAAGAGCTAGCTTCCAAAACACAAAATGCAAGAATTTTCCAAGTCAGCCTCTATTTGTCTTCTCCAGTTAACGTTATCTATGCAGCACATTATTATAATATATATTTTAGTTCCCTAGATACCTAGTTTTTAGGTGAGCTGAAAAGGACAATAATGCTCTAGAGCAAATCTTAGAAGAAAACATTTAACAGACAAGTGATCACACTCGTTCAGGGTCTGAGCACAGTTTCTTTGATATCTAACCACCTGGCAGGTATTTAAAAAAAAAAAAAAAGCTCTTTCATCAGTGAAATAATAATAATTTGTCATGGAAATTACCATGATGTCACAAATCTAGTATTACAATTCACTGCAGGATCTGGCAAGTAGGGAGAACAATCAATTTTGGGTTTGAATTGTACTATTCATATGAAAACAGGCAGATAATTTTCCAGCGAGGTTTAGTTTATATATGGGAATATGAGTAGACTGCTTGTCCTGCCTCTTACTTACTCAGACATAAATCAGAAACATCTCTGTGAAAGTCACTGAAGTTACAGTACTCTGGAGGAAAATTGGCGTGTGATGAGTATCAAATCCTATAAAAGTTCACAATGCATAGAAATCATTCCTTCCGAGGTTGGGCAAAGTTGAAGTAAGATACTACAGCCAATGTTCTGCAGACTGAGCAAGGGCAAACTGAAAGGCAAGTTATATAAAATGCCTGTCCCCTACTACTATCCTATGTGAGGGACTTAGGGTAAATGTTTGGAAGCTATCTATGGAATGTAGTTTTAATCTGATATAGTCAGGTAGCTGCTATTTTCCACAATACAAAAGATCCTCCCTAGAGGAACAATATCAGACGTATTCCTGATTTTTAATTAAGCAATATTTTTGCATTTAGAATCATGGCAATATCCATTCTTCATCTGGCACCCACCTACAGCAGCAGGTTGTGTACACCATCAGGTATTTCTGTCCTGATGCACTCAGTGGAGAGCACTGGGGCTTGGTGTGTCTCAAGGTGAATCCAAGAGTACTGCAACGCTCATCTGCCATGGCAACACAACGAGCTCGAGTGTGGGACTTGGCTCCTCATCCTTGCCTTACATCAATGCCACTTCCTACTTAACTGCAGTTCCTACTTACTGAGCTGCTAAAATTGACCATGTATATTGGAAAAAAAAGGAAGGCAAAGAAAACAACCCCCAGGACCCCCGTGCCTTTAGCAGTGCAATAAAACCAACGCACTTGGTTCTCCTTCACTACATTTTCAAGATGTATTTGGATGAAGCCATTTGATTTCCTGGCTTCTTTCTTTCCCCATCTCACAAGCTCATTGCTTATGAGACGACACTTTGCATTTCCACTCTTTATCATGGGAACAACAGGTAAAACAAGAGCCCCTCCTGACCTGCTTGCCGAATCGGGCCGCTGTCCACGCTGCCACCGAAGCCGGGCTGGTCGCAGTGGGGGGGGGCCCAGTCTGCCTCACAGTGACAGTTCTTCTTATTGTTGCAGACCTGCAAAACAAGACAAATGGCCTCACATGGAAAGAGCGACCCTGTGCAGCTGATAAGGCCTCCTAATCAGATAGTGACATATCTGGAAAGAAATAATGTTTCCAGGAGACAAGGGACGCTCGGAGGTGGCAAAGAGCAGCTCCGAGCACAAAGCACCACGGAGCAACAGGGATCCTAAACCAGCATGATTTATTTGGCAGGGAATCGTTGGAGTTGTACAAGCTGACAGCTCCAATAATATAAGGATAATCGCACACCTCTTAAGTCTTATTCTCTCTTTGCCTCCAGCAGCAGCATTATCTGCTTGCTGACTTCTGTTCCTTCTGCCTTCGCAGGAACAAGAGTCTCTGCTGTGAAGACTGTAAAGCTTTGTCAGCCTACTTGAACACTCCTATCCATCAAGGGCTTGCACCAGGCTGCATACTGATTCTCCCACTGCTCAGACCATAGAATCATAGAATCACAGAGTCAGAGTTGGAAGGGACCTGAAAGATTATTGAGTTCCAACTACCCCGTATGGGCAGGGGCACCTCCCACTAGACCGCATTGCTCCAAGCCCCATCCAACCTGACCTTGAACAGGGCATACCCTTCCAGGGATGGGGCAGCCACAGCTTCTCTGGACAGCCTGTTCCAGTGTCTCACCACCCTCTCACTAAAGCATTTCCTCCTGATTTCTAGCCTAAATCTCTCTTCTTTCAGTTTAAAGCCATTGCCCCTTGTCCTCTCACAAAAAGCCCTTGTAGAAAGTCCCTCACTCAGCTCAAGGATGAACCAGTTGCTGGCAGAACATGTGGAATCACTCAGGGCTGAGGAAACCACCCCTTTGATATCCCACTTTCACCATCTATAAAGGCACAGTCCTCAGTGGTTTTAGTCTGAGTTACGGAACAACTGGCAAGGCTCGATTTACCAACTGCTCCCTGCAGAATAAGAGAGCTCCAAAGGACCAGCAGACCATCATTAACATCAGCCTGTTCCCACTGCATGGAGCAGGAGGAACTGGTAGACTCCTGGGTTTTTCTTCAGGAGATCCCACAGTCCCAAACAGCCATCAAAAAAAGGGGCTGCTGCTTTTATTTCCTTTTGCTACCACCCAAGCAGCAGCTGCATGACTAACGCAGGAGCTTAGGCCCCATGCTGTTGTGACAATACATGGTCTAAGCAAAAACAGTGTGGCAGAGGACAAAGTTGGCACAGTCACATGGTGATGCTCAAAATGATTCTTAAGGAAAATTTCTGCACTCAGGGCTAGTTGTCAGTATGGTCCTCAGTTCTGAGCTAGCACTGATCAGCACTGATCTACCACCAACCACGGAGAAATCACACGAGACTAATAAATGGGTTTTTCAGTAAGACACTAGTTAGTTCACAGGAGTTTGCAAAAATGCATTTTTCTGGCAAGGTCAGCTGGCAGGCTTTCAGCAAGACTGTGCTGGCCATGTCTGCAGAGTATTACAATCATTCCCATTGCTCAGACTGGCTGTGGGCATGTAAAATGCCAGGAAAAAAAAATTACTTTCAAAGACAGCTAGATCATTAAAAATGTAATTACCTAAGCATTATTTTTTAAAAAAAATTAAAGCTCTACAGGAATTCCCATCTACAATTCCATGAGATCATTTTTTGCTACTCAGGAGTCACCAGAGGTTCTCCATCCTGCAGACATGAAGATGCCAGTCTGAGCTGATGCTCATTGCAGCCCAGCCATCAGATGCAGTACCATCAACACTGCACAGTTGTTCAAATGGGGGATGATAAAGTAAGTTAAAGGAAATTAAAATCCTTTCTCAGGAGAAGACAGAGACTTTCCAGTGGCTATTCCAATGTGGTCACCACAGCTTTTCACAGGAACAAACAGATCACCAGCAAATCAAGGTTAATAAGGCCTTGATTACTTGATGTAATTAATATATTCATAATATAAATTAGCTTTCAAAATACTTTGATGTTATTAACTCACCACGTTTTTGATCCTGCACCACTTTTATACCATGAAACTCATCAATATGGTTTTGCTTCATTGTAAAACTTTTGGAAATGCTTTTCCATTTGACTCTCATTTCAAAATAATATTTTAATGTATCTGTTGCCACACAGAAACTGTGTTTTTTGAAATGTTAATGGGAATTCTTCATGAAGGAAGGTTAGACTTAAAATTGCTTTGAAGATGACAACATCTCTTTCTATCACAGACTGCTAATAGAGAACAAGGTGAGTATGATAAATATTTCTTTGTTAAATAAATCTAATTTCATGGCTTGCAGTGCATATAAAGGCCACTGCAAATGGAAAGGCATCATTCAAAAGTGTTGCAGTGACTTTGATTGATATATTACAAACAATCTTAGATCTCAAAGCTGTTTATGTAAAACGATTTCTTGTCCACTGTTTATTGACTGATTCTAACAAAAAATGCTCCTATCGTGCTTACCCCACGTCCATGGCACTTAGTTGCACATTTATGGACTCCAAAAACACTCGTGTTCTGGCACCGGCGATTAAGGCAAATCTGCAAAACAAGAGAAAAGGAGTTTTAATCGGGACCCAACTGCTGGTGCTCACCAGGCATCCTGTCCCTCTCCAGCTCCCTGCACAGCTCCTCATCCATCAGTGGTGCTTGTGGCAGTTGAAGGTTGCCCAGTGCACATGCTGCAGTGTCACATTGACACAAAGATAAGGGATGCACTGAGCAGGACTCCTTCCTCTGCCTGATCTGGCTGCATTCATACCTCCCCAGCAGCAGATGGTTCCTTCAGGAAAGGTTCAGGTCCCCTCGGGGTGTAAATCAGTTGAGTTCTGTTTCCATCAAGAGCACAGGACTTGTTTGTGCTGGTACAGACCTTGGTCCCAGCTGAGTTCATTGGTGTCTATGGGCTCATCCTTGTTCTTCACCAAAACTGGGACCTTCTAAAACTTCTCCCAGGCTCAACATTTTGTGTGTGTGTGTATCCTATTAAAGTGTAATAACAAACTTACAGGAAAGGGAAGCAAACAAGTACCACATACAAAGTAAGGAAATGCTTTGTTTGTTTGTTTTCCAGTCTTGTAAAGTTTGCTCTGGAAACTGAAGTAATGCACAGTTAGTATCATCTAATAATATCATCAACCAATCAAATGACTGATGGAGTTGTCAGTAATGAGAAGTTATCCTACTCAAAACTGAAAGAAAAAAGATATTAGGACTGGAATAACTGTTGCTGTGCTGTACTGACCCAAAGAAAAATAGAAAAAAACCCCATAAAAATCCCTGCACAATTTTGCTCATGTTTTAACTGCTGTTAAGCTCAGTAGTAAAAGTCAGTCACAATAATTAACACTGAGCAGGGAATAGTGTGGAAGGAGACAACAGGGATGCTTAATCAGGGCACTTATCCCCCAGGGAGAAGGAAAAATGGGAAGGAAATGAGAGTGAATTGGCATCAACATGCACACATGTAGAGAATATGGTCTGATTACAGCAGCACTCACAATTCAAACAGGCATCCTGCAGCAGCTCACAAGAATTTTGATCACATTAAAATGGCTGCATTTCAAATGGTGCATCTTCAGCTTAGAAAACTCAAGAATATTTAAATTCACATTCTTAATCCATAATACAAATGCACTAATGTCCTCAAAGTAAAACATACAATTTCAGAAGTATTAGCCTGTCTATTCTATAGTGTGCATGTGTATGATTAGATAGATTAGAAAGATTAAATACTCATTAGTAAAACATAACAGGGTGTTTGTTTTCCCAGTGTTGAATTTTCTTTGAGAAGATATTGAAGAACAGATTGACTTAGCAGAGCTGTAAGGGGTTGTTTTCCTGGAAGAGAACTGTAGTTTCACCAGGGGCACGTTTCAAACCTGTTCCCAGTGCAGTGTGATAACCCAGTACAATTCAAAAGCAGTCAGAGATTCAGGGGGTGATTTCAATTTACCACAGATTATCAAAGCACTTTGTTTTTTTCTTGCCTTGCAAGTAATCCACTAAGGGTAAGGAAACCTTCACCATTTCCATAGTTCTTGGAATCCTTTCCATTCCTTCCCCCTGGAAACTCAAGGCAGTCTCCCCTCTTTTTCTGTTCTTAAGAACAGAAAACCTAAGGATGAGGCAGCCATATGACTTTTGAACTACATTCATGTCAGATAATTCAAAAAGTTTGCAAAACATGATCACAAAAATCAGTTTTGCTGACTGAATATCAATGGGTTTATATTTTTCTAACAGTGCCTGCAGAGATAGATTTTCTTGGAAGGAAAAAAAAAGGAGCAGGGAGGTGAACTTAATGACAACTTTGCAATGCCATAGAAACTGAATTCATTGAACTCCTCAGAAACTCATCAGTGATCCTGTGATGTATTTTGCTGTACTTTTGCAGGCAACCTCTAGCCAATGTGGACAGATATTTGGGACTGTCCTCTAAAAAATCATAGCTGGTTTGGGTTGGAAGGGACCTTAGAGATCATCTGGTTCCAACCCCTCTGCATGTGCAGGGACACCTCCCACTAGACCAGCTACACAAGAATTAAAAATGAGAAAATAATAATAAAAAAGTTCAAAACACCTCTCCACCTGCTTAATATCCCATAATATGTACATCACCACATATTTCAGTATTTATGATGATGACCTTAATTCTATTTTAGCATGAAAATACTTTTCCCAGAACCCTAGCAATGAGAAACTAACACATAAGTAAATGTTTTTATTTCAAAGTTCTTTTCACACCCTGATTGCATTTTTGAAAGTGAATTCAATCTTTAGGAGATTAGTGTCTTCTCCTTCATGCCACCTTAAATTCCCAAGACATCTAGTGATTTTTGGATGCTCCATTCTAAAAGAAGTAGTGAGAGGACAAGAGGTAATGGATGAAACTGGAAGAGGGGAGATTCAGGTTAAACATTAGGAGGCAATTCCTCACCATAAGGGTGGTAAGACCCTGGCCCAGGGTGCCCAGGGAAGCTGTGGCTGCCCCATCCCTGGCAGTGTTGAAGGGCAGGTTGGATGGGGCTTGGAGCAGCCTGGGCTGGTGGGAGGTGTCCCTGCCCATGCAGGGGGTGGGACTAGAAGGTTTTAGATCCCTTCCAACCCAAACCATTCTATGGTTTGATGATGAATATCACAGAAAAGGTCTGTAATACAGCAGTGTTTTGAAACCAATTCCTAAGCCTAATATTAACCTCTAGTGGGAGGTGTCCCTGCTCATAGCAGGGGGTTTGGAACCCAATGATCTTTGAGGTTTCTTTCAACCTTAACCATTCTATGATTGATTCTATGGTTCTATATTGCTATCCTTGATTATTAGAACATCTTTCTTCCCCACAACTATACATTCAATAGTTTCATGGCACTGTATTTCTTCAAGTAAATTTTACAACAAAAAGGAAATACACGTTTGTTACTAAAAATCTACTTGCTTGAGCAACTTGAATTGCATCTGCAAATCTGTGATCCAGAATAGCAGCTAAAAGTAGAAGGGAGTAAAAACCTGACTCAGCATGAGAAACAATTATTTCGTGGAGAGAGAAAAGAATTCCAAATAAAATAAAAAAATGGTCCATTTAGGATAAAATAGTTTGCAGTAAAAAATTGGTCAATTTAGGATAAAATACTTTGCAGCATGAGGTAGTGATGTTAGGGAGAATTAAAAAACTTACTTTGCCATCTTCACACTTGGTTCCTGACAGCACGAGACCAGGGTCAGGCATATCATCCCCCAGGTACACGTGGGTACCACGACACAGAATCTTGCCACCTTCCTGAAGTGGGATATTGGTTTCTATGGAAACAGCATTGGTCCCGATGACGGGTCGATTTGCTCCTCCTTGACACTGAATTTTTCCACATTTTGCATCTCTGAAGGAAATAAACAAAACCCCAAATTAGTTGCAGGATTTTAAATGATATAAGCTCTGTCCCACCACCATGCATCTGTTCCTGTGCTTGTAGGGAAGGACCCTACCTGGGTTCACATTTAGCAAAGGAGCTCTTGGAGTCTTTGCCACAGTTGCCGTAGGGATCTCCTGCAGAATTGACCCTCTCAAAGCAGATCCCAGGAGCAGGTTTCGCACCTGAAACAAAACCTCATCAGAACTTCCATCTCATACAAGGTGTATTTTTAATAATCAGCTCCACTGGTGCTTTAGGGGAAGGGAAGCTGTGCTCTGCATGTTGATGAAGAGCAACCAAACAGTTGGGCTTGATCTGCATGCTAATGGGAGAGCCAGGACGTGTGGGTTTTCCACTGGTATTTGTCTCTTTTGGCAATGCTGAGCAACAGACAATGCAGAACTCCTCTTTCAGAACCTCCATAGATGATATCCCTCTTGTGAATCCTCCCAGGACACACAAGCTTTTAGCTAATGCCAAATCTAGTTTGGTGAAGAAAGACAGAGGCCAGCTGGTATGTTAACTCCCTCCTTCTTATTGGTGTCCACGTGGCCTTAGGGACAGCCCAAGAGCTGAAGCTGGAGCAAACACCTTTCAAGAAAGGCCTTTTAAAGTGCAATTCAGAAAAACAAGAAACCAGAAAAAAATCCAGTTGCAAACTAGAACGTGATGTGACCATAAAAACATGACCAAGTGCCACGGCAAAGAGAACACGATGCTGTTAGCTGAAGCTACTGTACTGGGGAGAGAAAGGGGACCCATCCCCACCTTAATCCTCCATGCATCCACTGCTGAGTGGAAAGACTGGCTTGAAAGAAGAGTTGTTTCTACCCTGTGGTAGGAATCTGGGAAGACAAGCAATGCCTTGTTCTTCTATACTGTATTTTATGATGGAGATATATCCTAACAGTAAAGGAACTTCCCTGATGGAAGTAGGACTGGAAGTGTCTTTGCAGACAGCTTACTCATCCCTGCTTTGCAGAAGTTAAAAGGTACTATTAGAAAAGCTATTCTCACGTCTTCTACAGACAAACTTTTGTCCCTTTTTCCTTAGCTAATGACCAACTACTGAATATCTTCAAGGGAAGATTCATGCGTTCATCTGAAATGTCTAAGAGGTGGAGGATATTCTTCCCTGCTTTGACTTTTTAAACAACTAATTAGTCTACATATTAGAATTTAATCCCTTTGTTCTATTGTGAAATGTTGCTTTTATTTCCAGCTAATAATTGCTTCTCCTTGCAAGTTTAAGAGGCTCTTTGCTAGGGCCCTTTACGACCCCATAATTTCTTTCCATGAAGATAATTAATAGCATAACTGAGTCACTGAAAACGTTTCAGCTACTCCAATAGACAGACTTGCTTTAAGGAGACAAGGTCAGGAGCAGATACACTGGTTAAGATGCTCATTAACAGGTATCTGCTAGATACATTTGTGTACTTCTGATAGATCAGCCCAATCAAAGCAAAAAGAACTGGCAATAAATGATGTGATAGCCTAAAGGCTGAAAGGACACAATTTCTACAGTGTTCCCTGATCTTTAACAGAGACAGAATATCTGAGTTCACATCATATTTTTTTTTTTCAAATGTTTGGGCCACTTCCAAGTCTGTATCCCTCTAACTGTGGGTATAACGTATCATTTATTTAAACCGTCCTGAAGATTTAATTTGAGAGCCTTCAAAGAGAAAGAAGGTGTGTTATTTTTATTTTTTTTTAAAAAAGGGGGTTGTATTCCTGGAGAAGAAAACACAAATATGATTGTAAAACTTCCAGTTAGTGTGGATCTTTTCACTAATAACTCAGAGATTAAAGCCTCAATTAATTATCTGCATTTCACAGTCAGAGGCTCGACTAATACTATATGCTGCTGAACAGCAAACTAATGCTATTAAGGACAAGGTATTAAAACTTGGAGAGGCTTAAGATGGCACCCTCTTTTTTCCTTCTAACATTTTTACATGCTGAAACTGGGAAACTCAAACAGAAAGGCACAGAAGGAACAGAATACGAGCTCTTGGTTCCCTGGAGAGCAGGACAAGAGCTTGAAATTCTTTGGAAGATTACAATCAAGCTTGCTGAGTTCGGAATATTTCTCCAATCTGGAACTATTAAAAAGGGACTCACATGGGATTCTTTCACTTCTTTTCATTAAACCACAAACAATAATCAAAAAATCAACAGAAGCATCCAGACCAGGCACTGTGCAAAAAGCAAAAGTCCATTTTCCATTTTCAGCATGTAAATTCCTCCTCATCTTCCCAGGGCAGGCACATCAACTATTCAGCTTGCTACAAACATTAACATGTGCATATATGATGCCAGCTTCAGGAGGGAAGGGGAAGGAAGGGAAAAAACATGCTGCAAGCAAGAGGCCAAGTAAAACTGCTCTTCTTCCCACATATGCAAAGACCAACTTGCTCAGACCCACGTTGCCAAAGGAATAAGCTCCCTCTCCATCTGTCATCTGAGCAATCTGGTCTAGTGGGAGGTGTCCCTGCCCATGCAGGGCAGTTGGATCTAGGTGATCTTTAAGGTCCCTTCCACTCCAAACTGTTCTATGGTGGGTTATACAGGTCATATTGTTTTGTTTTGACTGGGAGGCTTGTGCCCCAACTAGTTGAGGCAGTGGTGGCAGCAGCCCAGAGCACCAACACCCTTTACCCAGCATGGTGTGTGGCTTCAAAAGCTGCCAGGAGGAAAATGAAAGGCTGTGTCCTGTGCTTGGACTGTAAGTGACCTAACAATGACTTAATAAAAAAAACATGGTCTTATAAAGAGAAAAGGCTCACTGAAATCGCTGAGAATTTAAGGTATTTATCTTCCTCTTTTACCTGGTGAAATGTTTTTGTTTGGTTGGGTTTTGTGATTGTAGAAGCAGAGTTTGCTGCACATGATGGAAAGCAGTCTGCAGGAAGAAGAACACATCTGCAGCAGCCTTGCAGGGCTCAGACAGTGAGCTTTAACTCCAACCAGTAACACTTGACAAGAAAACAGATCTCACAGAGTACAAAAAATGCTCCCCTGCCAGGCTTGGAGCAGTTGGTGTATGAAAACACCTGGTGCCCAATGATCATCTGTGGCTTGGAAACCAAAATCTAGCTCCAATTTCTGCCTTTGCTATCAAAGCAAAACACATTGTTGCTTGGGATTCAGATGGCTGTTCCCTCTGCTGACTGGTTTCTCACAATATTTGGACTTTTTACAGATGAAAACATATCAGAGTATAAGAAGCTGAACAGATGGAGCTACCAAATGAAAAGGAGGTTTTCAGAGGATGCTCAAGGAGGAGAATTGTAATGTTGTGTTTCTGAAGGAAACCCATTTATCATGATTGCCCCATATAAACTGAAGCAGAAAGGCCTGTCTTTCTCTATTCCACTACCTCTACAGGCAAAGGCAAAATGATTTGTGAAAGATTTCCAGTGGTCATTAAGTGCTCTGAGCTGGGTGGGCAGAGTTTATTTCACTTTGCTATTGATAATTATGGTATCATGACCCTGTAATTAAGGTCCTGTCAGCCTTTCCACGCCAAGGCGTATTCAAGGGATTAAATCAGCCATTTGAAACTGCAGAAGGTCAAAGCTCAGCACTGCAGTTGTCAGCCTGAAGCCTTTTATTTTTTCTTTCCCTCCCAAATGGATGAGCCCACTTGTCTCCCTGTACAGTTTTTTAAAAAAATAAAATAATAAAAATGAGATGTTCTATGCTTTTGGAAGTGATACAGAAATGCTGTGTCATTTCAGATCAGTGCAAGAGCTGCTGCCATGAGAAAATCCCCTCCCGGTGTCCCAAAAGAGAAGAGGGGAATTTCTGGCCATGGTGCTGATTCCAGGGGCTGAGAAACACCCGTTACCAGGCTGACAGCAAAAAAGGAAGGTATTTCAAAATTAAGTTCTCAACGTTTTCTCAAGAATTATATAAAAAGTAAAATAAAATGCTGTGTTTATGGGTGTGGAGGGGAAAAATAAAAACAAACCTCGAGTAACCAACTGGAGTTGTGTAGCTCAGAGTGTAACAACAAGCACCACAAACAACTGTATAAATAAATATAAGCATAAAAATACAGTTCTCTGCCATGTGGTTTTGCACCTGGGTTTTATATCTCATCACATTTGTTTTACTACACTGATGATGCAAAGCAAACTCTCCACCAGCTCCACTTGGCCTCCCTCTTCACCTTGGTGGCCCCTGTTGGTAAATCTGTGCAAGACTGAGATGGGGTTGAGCTGGTTTTGGGACCTCTGAGAGCATGGCTTGATGCCTTTTGCACCTCCAAGAGAAAAAGTCTGGCCATACACCTGTGGTGCTGAAACCAGGTTGGTTTTACTGGATTCAAGTCTTTACAGTGCTCAGACAAATGAGTGGCTTTGCAGAAGACAACCAGCCATGGTTTGGTCACCGAGGTGGGAAGCCCATTGGTTCTGCCTGGAGGGTTGTACCAGTGACAGGCCTTTGTAACTCAGATTGACATGAAAATGAAGATTGTTCCTGTCTAAACAAAACTACCATGTCTAGGCAACAGATTTAACTATGTTCTGATGATGAAGTCAGTGCCTGCCTTTGGCTCCCACCAGTCATTGCTTTGTGGTCTCTCAGGGAAATGCAGGAAAGCACACTAATAAACATCTCCTCTCCTTCCCTAAAGAATAATTTGCTTGTACATGCTGAAAAAGCCACGAGTCTGAAGCTGAGAATCTTCTACCCCTTGGTAATCAATAATTTCTCTCTCGTAAAGAGCTCTCTCCGTGTATCTAGTTGCTGCCAGATGAAGCAACAGAGTAGCAGACATTACACAGATTAATTACTATCTCAGTCATGCTACTACCAATAGGTCAGTTCAGTGGAATTTGGTATTTTTGAATATGAAACAAAAAAGGTCATGAGCATGTTGCTGCTTAAAGAGGAATAATACATTAAGGTCAGAGAAAGAGTAGAGAAATTTGTGTGTTCTGAGAATGAACTTGGTCTTTAGGAGGAATTTATGGCTATTTTTGGACGCTGTCCCCAGGTACCTCTCCCTTCTTTCACTCCAAACTTTCCCTGCTATGGCAGACAAAGAACAGCAAAAAGTATTCCTCCATTTGATTGGAATTTATCTGTGGAAAGCTACAAAAAAACCCCAAGGAAATGCCACTACTTCTTTCTGGAAACAGGTTCCTACTGCCCAGCCTCATGTTAACAAGCCCTGACAGTGCTCATCATTTTTGTTTAACTAGATCTAAAAATATGAAGATTGACAATTATCATCGGGCTACTAGACATCTGTAACCTGACAAATAAAGATACATATACAAGAGAAGACAGTGATAAGGAACTCAATATACTGAATATTATTTTAAGGACAGTTACTGTGTTTTGTTCTGGGAGGAAGAGAAAAGGAATTAATGTAAATGAACTGTTCTCTCTTTCTGGCACTGACTTTTTTGAAAACCCACACAACTACTCCTTCACTCCACTCCAACACACACAGTTAAAAACAGTTTTAATAAATTGCAAGAATCTAGTAAAAGGTTCAGATGTATCTTTTTGATATGGTGCCCAGAGGCAGTACCCTGGAATGTTAAGTCTCTTTTTGCTACAGTGAAGGCTGGAAGGAAAGGGTTTGGTTTTTTTTTGTGTCCCATGATATTTTTCCAGCTGTGTAGCCCACCCAGCCCTCCTCCCATCCCACCCTGCCCCTGCCAGCTCATACTCCAACCAGAGGTGATCCAGTGGTGGATATTTACATCCCTAGTCTTTAAATCCAGAAGACAGGCCTTGGTTTTTGCTTGAAGCCTATCTACAAAACTGGTTTTGAGGTTGATTTCACTGGCATTATTTCTAATTTATCCTTCCAAGAATGTGGTCAGAATCAAGCCTTTCAGTTCAGGTTTGGTAATGCCCCGTCCTCCCTTTCAAAATCTTTATCCCTGAGGATTCCCAAGACAAATAGGGGGGTTCCAGTTAGAATCTGCTTGAGCTCTGCTCTGAACAAAGTCATTTCATCATGAGCAGACCCTCACTGCCTTGACCACTGGGGGCTCCATGCACAGCAGTGCCCAGACTGAACAGTCTCAAGAAGGAAGGCAAGAAAGAAATGGGGGAGCCCGGGGGGGTTTGGAGAATGTGCTGTGTTAGGAAAGAGACCTGGCAAGGGAGCTGCAGCAATTCAGCTCCCTGACCTTTAGCTGCATTTTTCTCAGGGGCTGAAGTTATTAACAGTCCAACTGAGTAACTTTCCACGCTATGGGAAACTGGTTCAGAAGGAGATTTTTGCTTTATACAAGAGAAAATGTCTGTGTATCCAGGGGATTAAAAATCCCAGTATGACTAAGACTGGAGGCTATAATTGTACATGCCTATATGAGCTCATATTAACTCTACGACAGGAGTGGGATTCAGAGGAGTGTATCAGATGCTTGGTTTGCTCTGTGTGGGGAGTTTAATTTTGAACTGGAACTCCTCTAACGTGTTCTTATACCCTCATGACCAAGCTAACCTGCTCTCTGAATCAGTGGCATTGTTTCTTGAGCTCCTTTACTGCTCTTTAAAACAAAAATTGCCCATGGCCCAAGTCCCTGTGAAGATAACTTTCTTCAGCAGCCTCCTGGGGAAGGTTTTGACCAAGGGAAACAGTTGTGTGTTGTTATATTGATACACAAGTTTTGGAACAGAGTTAAAGGCAGAGAGATTCTGAATTGAAAGAGGCAAAAAGAGCTGAAAAAGTTAGATTAAAAGAAATAATTAAAGCTATTTCTAAATACTTCTTCAGGAGAGGTAAGAAGTGCTTTTCCCATGTGCCAGAAAGGGTAAGTGAGATGCTGAAGGAGACCTGACTGTCCCCAGGATGCAGGAGGCATCACCAAAATGCTGAGCTAGTACTTGGATTTCAGTGAGAGAGTCACAGGACATGACAGAAAGGTGAATGGCTTTCCCAGCATATCATCTGTTTTGGGTGACCCAAGAACTCACCCTCTTAGATTTTTGCAAAAAGTAAGTAAATTCCTGTGGGACAATAAAACCTCTTGGTGCTGGAGTGGGGCCTGTGCTAAGAGGCAGTGTTGGGAGGCAGGCTGGCAGGGTAACACCAATTAACAAAATACACATAATGATACAAAAATGTTTGGTTAATGCCAAACCCTGACCTCTGTTATGGAACGTAGACAGCCATATATATTTTGTAGATGAGCAACTGAGAGCACAGAAGGAAGCTTTTCACCCACATGAAAAGATCACAGAATCCTCATGGTTTGAAAGGACCTAGGAGATCACTGAGTCCAACCATCAACTCAAAAAAAACCCCAACCCAAACAAACACAGCCACACACACTCCATCAGAAAATGCCCACAAAAAACCAAACCAACCCAAAAGCCAACAACAACAAACACCAACCCTGCCCACCTGGGCACACTCCTGGGTGCAGTGTAACCTGTCGAGGGCACTCAGCACTTTGTAGGGTGACATCAGGCCACACCAACATCAGCACTGAGTGATTTGTCTAAGTTCACATCTCCATTTGCAGCAAAATGAACCCGGCTACTGTTGCTCTCTACCTCCTGCTGCAAGAAGTGAACACGACAGCAAATCAGGGGAAGCAGTGAATCACAGGATGATTCCCTCATGATTCAGCTCATCCGTTCCAGCGAAGAATAGACACAGATTTGGCTGGATAACACTCCTCCAAACGCCTCTCTGGTGGCAGGTGCCTGTTCTCAAAGCCTGTCTCTCCTGAGCAAGATGGGAGGCTCACCTTGGCCCCAGAGGGTGATGCACTGCTGCTCGTGGGTCTGGCAGATGCCATTGTAGCAGTAGCCATCCACCCCGTGGCAGGCGTGCCCGTCGTGCAGGTACACGTTGGCCGGGCAGTGAGGGCTGGAGCCCGTGCAGAACTCGGGCAGGTCACAGGAATTGCTCGACTCTCTGCAAGAAATCCCCGCTGGTTTTAACTGCAAAACAAAACAAAGCCCCTTAACAAAGCCCTGTCATTCCAAGCCGTGAGAGTCAGGCAGAGGTGTAACCCATGGAGAGCCCCTCCAACAGCTTTTCCCACTGGCTCTGTCCCAGCTGAACCCAGAGGACAGGCAGTAGGAGGATTATGCAGCTCTTTAAGTACATTTATTTGACACAGGTTGAAGGGTTTGGCAAGAAGTAGGGGGTGGGGGGCAAACTGAAGTCACAGCTGCAAACGTGGCTCAGGCCAGGAGCTAAATCCAGCCTTTCTTTAGTTTTCAAACAGCCACCAAAGTTTGCAGCGTGCCTCCTGCAGTCACAGCTGAACAGAGGCACAGGCAGTTTGCAAAGGGTGCCCTGACCCCAAGTCAGGGAAGAAACCTTTTCTTCCAGAGGGCTTTAACAGCCCAGCAGTGACCTGGGCAGCCAGCCTGTCATGTCACCTTATGGTACATGTGATGGCTTATGAAGCCACCAACCCGCCTGCCTCTGGAGTCAGTTCCCTGACAGCTTCCTGGGATGGAGGTGCATTTCCTCAGGGAAACCTCATTGTGTCACAGGCCTCAAGATCTTCTTCACCTTAATTCTACAACTAGCCCATGTAACTGCTACTGTCCTGAACTCTCTGCATAACTACATTTTTTTGGAGGTGGAACTAGTAGGCAATGGTGCAACTGGGACTTTTTACAAGGGCTTGTAGCAATAGGACAAGGGGTAATGGCTTTAGACTGGAAGATGGTAGACTTAGATGAGATATTAGGAAGAAATTATTCGCTGTGAGGGTGGTGAGACCCTGGCCCAGGTTGCCCAGGGAAGCTGTGGCTGCCCCATCCCTGGCAGTGTTCAAGGTCAGGTTGGATGGGGCTTGGAGCAACCTGGGCTGGTGGGAAGTGTCCCTGCCCATGCAGGGGGTTGGAACTGGATGAGCTTTAAGGTCCCTTCCAACCCAAACCAGTCTGGGATTCTATGATTTCATTAATATGCCAACCTGAACATTCACTTATCAACAGCACCCACAAAAGATGGGTGTGCTCTGGGAGCAGCACTGGACTGGAATTGCAGCACCACCGTGCCTTTGGTAAAAAGCAAAAAGACATGAAGATTGATTTGGCTCCACAGCAGCTGCTAGCTGTTTCAATAGCTTGCTGCTGCTCCTGAACTTGTAGGCAGATGGTTGCCACAGACAATGGAAACTTGCTGAATGCTTTATTAGCCCATATGTAAGGGATGGTCTGAGAAACTAAGACAGTAAATGCCTGAGGCAAGTTGGCTTTTTATAGAACATTAGGAGTCCACACAAGCTGATGATCTGTCAATAAAGATACATTTGCTGTTGACAGAATTAATATTTTAAGAGTCTTCCCATAAAAAGAGGGTCCTGCATTTAATGACTGCCAGAGCACAGCACCCATAGGAGCAGGAAAAAATAAAATCTAAGCATTAAACAGTTCATGCAAAAGAGGAGGTTTTGCATGAGCAAGTGAAGTGGCAACAACCAGCACAGACACCACCAAAAAGGTCTGTTGAGCTGCTCTAAACTGCTACAGTTGGAGGATTCTTTAAGTTGTTTCACATGTCTTAATGCTTGCAGGTACTAACTGGTGTGTTCTCCACCCTCTGTTGGGAACCTTAGGGGTTGGAAGGGACCTGGAAAGATCATCTAGTCCAACCCCCCTGCCAGACGAGGATCCCCTAGAGCACATCAGACAGGAGGAGGGCTCCTGCCCACCCCACAGAGCTGAAGCCTTGGTGGGGGCTCACCTGGCAGTCCTGGCAGCAGAGCCCGTGCGCGCACACGGCTCCCGGGCTGAAGGTGCAGGTCGTGGCGTTGCAGCAGCGGTTCGTGCACTCCTGAGGGGAGGGGGGAATCAGAGCAGACAAGGTTCAGTCACAAGGAGCTGGGGATCAGGAAGGCTGCCTAAAGCTCCGCCAAGAAAAGCTGAGCATGAAGGAATGAAGGGTGCATGAAGTGGTGCAACTCGATCCAAACGGTCTTGTCGGTCCTTAGACTCAACAAGCGAAGGGGATTATAGTAAAACCAGAGAAGCCACTGAGGAAGGCTGGATTATTCCAGCTGTGGATCACATCCCAAATATCACAGACCACCCCCATCTGCTGATACCAACCCTGCTTTTTGTTTCCTTGAAAGCCAGTGGCCTGATTCCACTGTCTCCAGTGAGGACCCAGCACCACGACTGCAGCTCTGGTTTGTGAGGGCTTCTCAGCAGGCTGTGGAACTGCACTGGTGCCTGTCCCAGAGGGAGATGATGACCCCCTTCCATGGCATCTCTTCTCAAGGTACAGCAGTAATAGAGCTTTGTGAAATGAAACGAGTATCAATTGCAACTGATACCTCCCAGTTTCACCCCTAGGGATTAGGTGGTGGCATGTGTGGGCTTTTGCAAACTTTATTCTCAGTAGAATGAGCTAGCAAGGAGTTTCAGAAAATAATGGATTTGTTTTTCCAAGATTACATTCACAAGCTGCAAGTTACATCAGCTGTGCTGGAGTCTCATCTCTCAAACAAGAACAGCAGCAGATAAAATTGCTCTTCAGCTGTGCTAAGTCAGTTTGACTTAACAAGGGATCACTAACAATACAGGAAACACAGGAAAAATAAGTGGGTTAGAATGATGTTCACAGCCTCTTCTTACTTTATTGGCTTTTGTAAAGCTTTCTAACTGGAAGATGGGGCTACCACTGCACTCACAAATAAAGAGCAAAATGACTCTCAGCATTTCTCTTTTCTTAGATAGTACCTGCCTGACTGTACAAGCTCAAGCTGCTACTCTGAAGCAGGGGAGCAACTTCCTGCACCACGTTTTGGTCCCTCTGGAAGGCAGCAGGCTATGCAAATACCTCTGTGCAGCTGCTGGATTTAAGCAGTAACATTTCTCTGCCATGGAGCACATTTTATAAACTGCCCTCAACAGCAATCTGAGAAGAGCAGAGTGGAGGAAAGCAATATCACTCCTTAATTAAGATACTTCTGGAACTGGCAGCTCCTGTACCCCATCATCTGGCCCTGCAGCAGCCACAGAAAGCAATCAGCATTCCACAGGCAGACTGGGATAAAGACACAGCCCTTCAAATGGTGTTCCTGCAGCCCTCCAAATTCCCAATTGCTCACTCACTTCTTGCTCATGGTAGGGAAGGAGCTTGGGTAAATAGGTTTTGTGTCTGGGCTATTAAATTGTCAGGAATGGTTTTAACATAAACAGGCAAGCAAACAAGCTGCCACCTGAAATGGCTGCTGTGTTATAGTTTATTATTCTTAGTTATTATTAGTAACAACAGCAATGATGGGAGTTGGGTTTCTTGGGGTAGGTGTCCTGGGCTCATCAGAGCTTCTCAAACAGACTAATACAGCAGCAATTCTGACATCACCTACACAACGCCAGATACTGTAGACAGAACACCTTCTTTTCAACCCTTCTTTTGTAAGAACACAAGACAGACCACACTGGATCAGCCCATAACCCTTCTAGCCTCGTGTCCCCCTGACAGCAGCCAGCAGAAAATGCTGGGGGACCAGAATCTGACCACACATACAGGATACCTGCCCAGTCTCCTGGCTCTCTCTCAGCTCCACCAGCATTTGCAGCATCTGTAAGACTCAGCAGAAAGGAACACCTGAGGAATGGGCCTGTTCTGGGGAGGAGCTCCTTCTGCTTGTTTGAAACCTGGCATCTTCTAACTTCATCTGCACTGTTCCTGTTGAGGGGCAATCACTCCCTGCTCACTCCCTCCACTTCACTCATGATTTTGTCACCTTCTGTCATGTTTTCCTTCATTGCCTTCTTTTCCAGCCAGGGCTCTTTCAAAACTTTGAACTTCCTTACTGCTTTTCTTCCAACCCTTTTCATTCTGCTTGATCCTCCATGAGATGGGGGAGGGGGAGGAGAAAGCTGCACATGCCATTTGAGATGCAGCACGCTGCAGATTTATGGAGCCCTACTGGTGCTTTGTTTTGTTTTCCTATTTCTTCCCTAGTAATTTCTAACAGCCCATTTACCTTCTAGACCACTCTCGAGCACTGAGCTGACATTTTCATGAGACTATTTATTGCAATATGAAGTCTTGTTCCTCTATGGTCAGAGTTAGCTCAAAGTCCATCATCTTCTGGGTGATGTTTGGAATGTGCATACTCCATACTGAATCCCATTTGTCAGCTTAATGCCCAGTCCAGCTGTCTCAGAGGGTTTCTCTGCAGTTCTTCACAGCCAGCTTTCATCTCTACCATCCTAATATCATCAGCAAATTCAAGCCCATTCCTCTTCCCAGGCTGTTTATGAACATGCTGAATGGTGTAGTCCCCAGGACACATGTCATGGATACATCACAGCAGATCCCTTCCACTACATAAAATGGGTGATTTATGCATGGTTGTATTTCCTGTCTTTTAACCCAATTTTTGCCCATGTAATATTCTCTCATCATACAGCTGCTTGGTCTCCTAAAGAGGCTTTGTTCTAAAGCCTCTCTGAGCTCCCACCAGGCTGCACTAACAGCATTGTCCCTTTCCAGCCACTTGCTCAGTTCTTCAGACACTGATAGGTTTGTTAGACAAGATTTCCTGGCACAAAACTGTGTTGATTCACCCCTGGCATGGCACAGCCACTCTGGCACTAGCTCCTCATTACATTTGGAAGCAATTTGACTTCTGATTTACCAGTTCAGAGTTTTCTCACCTCCCTTGCAGCCCATCATAAAACTGGCCATGTTTGTCACCTTTCAGGTCTCAGGGATTTTTAATTATTTTTCTTTTTCCTTCTCCCATCTTTCCACCTGTAATGTACATTAACCTTCCTTCCAGAGACACTGTAGCATGTCATGAAGTTTTGGTAGTATAACCCAAAATGAAGTCAGAGCTTAACTGGTAATATCCCTGGTCAGGTAATATCAGGTCACTCTTGGCCTGGTGGTGGGTGTTTCCTAGGTGGCCTGGTCAGTGTTTCCAGAGTTGCTTGAAGGGTTGGAGACCTGATAGTTTAGTTAGAATAAAGGCAAAATATCCCAACCAACCACCTACATCTGCATCTTCAGATTGATATTTAATTCTGATCACTGATAAAATTGAACCTGCATCTGTTACTGTAGAGCTTCCCATAACATTATTGCAACACTGCTGACAAACCTCAGCACCTACCAGTGACTGGGCACTGAATTACTGACTCATCCAACAGGCTTTCTGCTACCACTCAGATGACAGAAGTAAATTCCAAATGAATTTAATTTAATTAATTAAGTGAGCCCAAGCTGCAGTTTTCCAATACATAATTAAACTGGAAAAACACAGGAAGAGGAGGCAAATCAAGCCACTGCTTGCTGACATTAAGTGGCTTTGACTTGAAAAGGTATTGCTAACATTCAAAAGTGAAAATGAGAGAGATAACTGGGTTAGGAAGACATTTGCAAGCTGCTTGCACTCTATTGACTTTAAACAAGAAGATAAGGCTGCTTCCTCCAACCTTGTTACCCTGAAGAATGAGTGAACTGTCAGGAAATCCTTATGGCTTGTGTAAATCCAATCTACTGCGTAGACAGGATACAGCAATATCTTGCTCTTTTAACTGCCCCCATCTATTTTGTCTGCAGAACCATATTTATCACAGGAAACAAACCCTCATCTGCTGACGTATTTAATTCAGATAGTCTGAGAGCAGCTCAACATGGCCAACGAGCATGGGAAGCCAAAGGGGTAAGGATACAGGCTCAGATATTATTTGACCCTCAGGTTTTGCCTGTCTCCTCCTGATCTGGGCAGTCCTCTGATACCTTCACTAAACCAAATGGAATGAGTTTTGAAGCAGTAGCAATTTTTTGGGAGGCAGTAAAGGTGATTTCTGTCAGGCAAGCAATTGCCAGTGGCAAAGAAAAATCTTGTAGTCAAGGAGGGAAAGGTCTTGTACCTGAAAACTGAAATTGGCTGCACTGAAAAAACACCTGGGTAACATGAATATTTATATAACTATTTATATTTGTATTATTTGCATTTGCATTTCTATTTATATAAATATATGAGTGGCTTCTCATATATGGAAATAAACCTTCATTTAACACACGGTATCTTGAGAAATGTGAGCAGTGTTAACAAATTTCTGTTGAGTTTAGCTTGTTATCTAGAAAAGGAATTCCTATTGTTAGGAACATGACAGTTAGTTGTGGTCAGTCTGTTGAACAAGCCCTGAGGGGGTTTGGTCTCTACTGGTGAATCCAGCACATTCTTAACTAAAGCCCTGCCTGGATTTTAGCAACTCAAGTCAAGAAGAAATTTCTCACATTTCTGAGGACTCTGAGGTTTAAGCTGATAAGAGAAGCTGTGAAGGGAAAGTTTTGTTTCACACCATGTAGTGTCAAACCTGCCAAACCAATTCAGATTTGTCTCTCCTGGTAAAACCATGAGGGGGGAGGAGGGGAACAGAGGTCCTCAGGGGGTGTCTCACCTCAGGCTCCCCACAGTCACACTCCTCTCCATCTTCCACGTAGCCATTCCCACACTTCTGCCCACCAAAGGACTCCTTGACTTCAGGCAAGTTAAACAGACACATTCCCACTCCTTTTTCCAGGCTGTTTTCCAGGTCCTTTCTACTGCAGCTACTGAATACCATGGGAAATGGATAGCTAGAAGAAAAAGACATGGAGACAAAAAAAGCAGAGGGAGCATTATCAGATGAAAACATCTCTCTCCTGTCATGCTGGTGAACTTTGAGCACATCTGTGCACTAAGAAGATGACTGTGCTATTTTATTTTTTTTTTAACCCTTTAGCACAGGACTGGGAAACATCAATTCACTGTGAAATTGTGCTATTGTGGATTTTCTGACTATAAGTAAAGGAATTTCCATCATTTTCACTTACATTTGTAGCTTCTGTTAAGACTGGAAGTGTTCACATTTGGAATGGCTTTAACTAGAAGAGTAGAGGTTGATGTTTGACATTAGGAAGAAATTCTTTGCTGTGAGGGTGGCCCAGGTTGCCCAGAGAAGCTGTGGCTGCCCCATCCCTGGCAGTGTTGAAGGGCAGGTTGGATGGGGCTTGGAGCAGCCTGGGCTGGTGGGAGGTGTCCCTGCCCATGGCAGGGAGGTTGGAACAGGATGGTCTTTAAGGTCCCTTCCAACCCAAACCATCCTATGGTTCTATGATATTCCATGAATACCTTTTCCCTCTTTTGCATAGGTACTTATTGAGCAAATTTTGATCACGAGCCTAAAGAGATACTGGGCTTGCAAGGAGGATTCCTGCATTCCTGAAAAACATCCTAATCCTTCTTGGAAAACTCAACCTCAACTGGCAAATTCTTTCCTCTTGCTGCAACTTCTTGCTCTTTCCAGAGAAAAAAAAAACCAGACAAACAACACAAAACAACCAACAGCAACAACAAAGAAAATCACTGGGTTACTTGAGAAGAACCTGCTTCTGCAAGTCACCAGTCAAGCTTGGGAACTGCATGATTAAAGCAAATACAGTTTTTATGTTAAATCAGGATGGTTGTAAAGACACTCCTGAAAATCCCCATAATTTGAAATGACAGAGCTGAGAGCAGGATTTGGCCCTGCTGCTCAGATACTCAGCAGCTTTGATTTCTTTTGAAAACACATGGACAGTGTTATCCATCTATCCAGTGCAACGCAAATATCCAGGTAAAAAAAAAAACAGGTAATTTTGGAGGGCTTAATTCCATTTTCACTGATGAACATTGGCAGCTACATTCCAAACAGGAGACAAAGTGGCACCTGGGTCTGGCCATCAGTGTCATCATGCCCTAGAGTCTGTCCCCTCTCCACACAGGGATGTGCACATGGATGAAAACCAGATCACAAACCAGCATCTCCCCTAGGACTCGGTACCCTGGTCACTGCTACACGATGGCCCAGCACTAATTCAACATCATGGTAGCACAGGGAGCCAACCTGGGCTTTGGTCACTAAATGCCCACATGTTCTTAGGGCATAATCTTTACAGAAAAGAAAGATAATAGATGGAAGTTCTGCACTGCTGAGCTTCAGACCTCGATGAATCTGCTGTTGTCTCTAACATCCTGAAATGAAAAGTTGTTTTGTGAATGATGGTGCCTAAAGGTATATAAAAAGAGATAATTTCTATTAAAAAAAATAAAATGTTGGACAACTAGAAATGCAGTAGAGCTTCCCCTGCTGGTATAAGGAGGTTAATCAGGATCTTATGCTACCTTACAGAACTGAATTTATTTAGTGTCTATTTAAAATTACCCCTTTTCCAGATTCTTTGGCCATGAAACAGCCAACTCATTGGAAAAGAACATGCATGTGACTCTGAAGAGGAAAGTAATTTCTCTGCATCACTGTAGGGCTTGTCTAGTTAAACTGAGCAGTTCTGTGATTCACTAACATAGGACTTCAGAAGGTGAATAGGCATCTCCACTTCTAAAGCTGATTTCTGGAAAATATTAATGCTCAGGCAAAATGACAGAGTTTAAGATAAATAAAGGAAGTTCAGAATAGCACGAGCTGGGAGTCAGGCTGCTTGCTGCAGCTCTGGGCCCCAAGGGAGAACAGGGAAGGTGCTCAGAGTAATGGGACAGAAAACAAAGGCACTTGGGAAACCTCCTATGACCATTTTATCTGGAGAAATTTGAGATGTTCTTAAAAAGACACCACGAAATCCTGTCCTACTCTTAGTCTGATTGGAAAAAAACCCACAACAACACAAAACTTGGTGTGCATGAACAGAACAAGTAGATGGATGTGCACTGCTATCAAACAGCAGAAAGACTTCAGGAAACTCAGATAGATCTGACTGATAAATCCTGTACAAATACATGAGTGCTCGGATCAGACATGATCCTCACATCAAAGTGTGAATAAATGAATACTGCATCATCCAGGCAAGATCCTTCCCTTTGGTGACAGATTCACTTTGACATCCACTGAGATGAAGACAGGGAGACACACAAACCTCACACAGACTGAAATCAATTTAGGAACACAAATAATGCCTTTTTCCCTGTGCCATATGTCTCAGCCACCCAGGGAGCATGAGAACAGCTCACCAGTCAAAACTATTGATATTTTAGGGCTGTCCCTTTGTATCCACAAATGCTCAGCATCATTGGCAGGAATGTGAGATGTATCTGTCCATCACCAGGAGAACAGAATCCTCACTCTCTACCAGAGGTGAAATAATGTCATTGGTAATGAATGAGGTTTGTGTTTTCCCTCCAGAGGAACTTCAAGCTGTTTCCTATTTTGAACTAAGAGATCCATTCATCTTCTGGCTTTTCCTGCTCTTGACACTGATTTCCTCAGCTGACATCAGTGCAGCACATGTTACTTGACGGAATTTTCTCAAAATACTTTGTCTTTGCTAAGTATGCCCAAAATAAAGCAATAGGAACCCAGAGATGAGCCCAACAAGTGGGAGCAGAGAGCAGCTGAGGGGTAACCACACCACGCAAGAGAAGATCCCACATCAATCGATGCCAGTCGTTATTGTTTCATTAGAAACATAATTGATCCTTAATACCATGTTATTCTGACACACAACCATTCCACATTTTTGTTTGTTTTTTTTTTTTTACCAAAAAGAACCCCATGTAACAGCCACGGCATTTGATCACTGTGATTTTAGGCTACATTTTGGCTGTCTTTGCAATTTAAAAGCTGTTTTATCAGAAGCATGAAATCCCTGGCAGACAGGATGGGAAGCTAGAGATAGCAGATGTCAGTAGCACTAGGCACAATGGTGAAGTGAAGCTGGAGCTTGTAAAAAATGACAAAGTCATGGTCAATTGGAGGATACTCATCTTCTGAACAAATGCAGCAAGCTCTTAAGAGGCTTCAGACCTCACCTGGAAGGACTATCTTTGGGTGGGAAAAGGTTGTGGCGTCTCCACAGTAGAGTCCATCCTTGACATGTCTCCAAGATTTCACTAATATGTTAAATAGAGATATTTGTGCTTTTGTTGGTTGCTCAGACACTTTTCCCATCGAAAAAGCCCTCAGCTACCAGCTGATAAGGTGAACCTTACACACCTTCTATAAGGAAAACCTTCCAGAGGTAAAATATTAATTAGCAATTAACATATTCCATTATCCTGCACTCAAGACATTTTCTTGTACAGACCATTATTGTTCTGTGTTTAGGAAGAGAAAGGAAACTTTAACTCAACCTAATTCCTATTCTGAGATGCTGAAGAGCCTCCACATTTTCTACCACTGTTTGAAGCTCTAGGATTAATACACAGATACAGATCCTTTTGTCAAACCATTCTGGCTGTGGGTGCAACTCCACAGAACTCAAATCACCAGCACTACATAAGTCTCTTCAGTGGGTTTAGAGCAAGGAGAATAATTTCAGAGTCTTGCTACCCCTCTTGAATCCCCAACATTCCTCAGTGTCTCCTTGGAACTTAAAAGATGCACTGAATCTCAGGCAACGGAAATCCTAGTTCCCAGCAAAAATAGCTTTGCCTGTTCCTCCAAGTGAGAGCTTCCCAGCAGCAAGAGGATGCCTGGTAATTGATTCCCTTAGAAACAGAGTCTTGTCTTGCCCCATTCATTTGTATTTCAAGCACTCAAGCCATTCAAATGCCGTTTCCTCTCTGCAGTTGTGCATTTAGCCTGTACTAGATGGCTCCTTTCATTAAATAACGGAAGTAGCATCATCACCATGTCAAGTCACTTTTAAGAACACAGAATTCTTTGTGCCAGCACCTCCCTGTGTAGCCTTTTATTTGCATTAATTATAAAAATCAATTTCACAGAATCACAGAATTGCTGGAGTGGGAAGGGACCTCTAGAGATCATCTAGTCCAACTCTCCCACTGAAGTAGGAGCTCTGCAGTTGAGAGGCATTCCCCTCCCAATGGGCTGAGTACAAGAGAGTACAAGCACAGGGAAAGAGTCACTGTCAGAAATTGATGGTTGTAAGAGATCAGAGAACCAAAACATTCAGGAGGAACCAAGTGGCTACCAATGGCTGCAGGGTAAAGCAGCAGATCAGCTGCAGTCCCAGCAATGCTCCTGCCTGGTGTGCCATGGTCTCTATTGCTGTCTTTCCAATTGCTCCATAAAGAAGATACCTGGAGAGTCATTGCCTTGGGTTACAGGAGATCTGTGCCCCATTCCAAACCCTACCACTGCATTTCCTTTGGGAAACCCATTGGAAGGGAAACTCCCTTGGTTCCTCCAAACCACTTCTATCTACAGCATTAAGCATCTAAACATCTAGTATGTTGGATTCACCTCCTCCATGTTCATCCACCATAGACCACAACACATGTTGCTGTTTCTCAAGAAGCATCATCACTGAGGCAGTAACATCACCAACGTTCTGGCAACTCTCTAGACATTGCAGGGGAGGATAAACTGCAGGTTCACAGTATCTTGAGAAACAGTATTTTTATGATGATGATGGTGATCACTGTCTAATCTCAGAGATTTTTCTCGTTCAAGAGCTCTAGCACTTCTACCAAGTAACTGCCTTGTTCTCTCAGGAATGCTGGTACATACACACACACACATTACATGTACATATAAAGGATATCTCTATTTATAGGGTTCATTTATTCCAGTTCATATCACAAGCTGATTATTCAGCACTCTGGCAATGTTTATTCAGAGCCTTTTACCAAAAGGCCCTGA